AAATTAAGAATATCAGAGATACCATATGCTGCAGAAGTAAGGGAAGTCAGGAAAGGTTGTAATAACATAAACAGGATTGGGCTGAAAGTGGCCTAAAAAAAAATCCAATTCTGATTGGTTCTCGCTCATGGAGGCCGAAACTAGTGCACCAAGATGGCGGTACCTCGTATGTGAACAAGAATAATGAAAATATTACCTAATTGTGGTTTATCAAGAGTAAATTGTTATTGCCATCGGTCCAAAATCAAAATAGATTAAGAAATTATTCACAAACCAATCTCATTTTCTTTTTAATTGATCAATTTGTTGATGTTGTTGTTTCTGTGTGACAGACATCGCAGGATTCCTGATCCTTATCCCCCAATATCGTTCGTTTGAGTGCACTAGTTTCGGCCTCCATGGCCAGCCAAGGTCGGCTGCCAGTCAGCTGATAATCGAGTTGTCGTTACTCTGGGTATAAAGGGACTCTAGCTGATGTCAGCGCTAACCGGAGTTGGGGGTCCTTATTTATTCTCTTGGTCCATGCTCTAGTGGAGACAAGGCCCATTACATGTATATCAGGTTGTATCAAATAAGCTGAAGGGGCGTCCGTACCTTGCTTTACCCCCCTACCTGTCTTACTTCTCCCTCGTATGGGGCCTGGCGCGCGGTCTACATTGTGTTAGAAGTCGATTTGTATGCTTGATGTACCTTCCCTCCGCTCCGACGGGCGCCATCTTGTTCTTGTTGATGCATTTTTCGACTGTTAGTGTGCGGCTCTTTTTATTTGATCTTTCCATTTTAGAATTAGTTAATTTTCAATGGCTGACAAGAAAGGTAAGCTTCGTTTTCATCTCAGTTCGTTTTAATGACTTTTTGTCCCAGGCTGATCATATCACCTTGATTTGTGAAACCTGTGTCCGCTGACGCCCGCGGGAGCAGCCGTTCGCTCGACTTGATTTGTTGAGCTATCTTTCTAAGATTTGGAATCATTTGCGCGTTGCTCGAGCAAGTATCCCGTTAATAAATCACTCTAATACGAATTCGCTCTCAGTTAATCTTCCTTTGTCATTGTAACCGAAACCGAGTGAGGAGGTTTTATAACACTGCTTTGTTTACCATGTTTTGTACGGGAGCGATTAATAGTACGTCGTTTCTTGCATTAGTGAAAGAGTCCATCCCTTATGATTTTACTTTAATGCTAGATTATGATTATTTGGAGCCGGGTATTCTCCAGGTAATTTGTGCTGGGTCCGTGGCATTGTCGGACTGGTATTCCATGTATTGCATTGAGCTAGTATAAACTTGCGGATTTTAAATTTTATCTGGAAAGAGCAGGAAAGTCCTGCACACAATCTTCAAGAATCATTTCCAACCCCAAAAATTTTAAATTCCCGATAAATGGAGGCAGAAACATTTGTGGCAATATGTAACTATTGCATCCAATGTAGGTTGTAATCAATTCCATCGCATGCAAAATTATTTTCCAAAAAGAATCGCGCTTTCATTTCTCTGAATTTTGCTACTTATTTGGTTGAGAATGATTCAGTAGACTTGTCTGCAAGTTTACTCTTCTGCTTGGCTCCACAATTAAAATCTGATGAGATTTTTGACTTACCTACTTGACTGAATTGAAATACAGCACATCAGTTTGACTGCACCGAGAAACCGGGATAAATTGCCCCAAAGCTCCTTTGGAGTTCTGCCAGTGGCGTAGCTAGAAATCTTTGCGCGCCCCCGCTGACCTGAGGCTGCACCCTCTCATTTCTGAAGTTTTGGGCGATGCACCCCCCCCCCCCCCCCTGCCCATCTAGTCACTTAGATCTGAATAAATGGGAGAAAATCAAGGTATTGCTATGAGAATAGAAAGAAAAATGTGAAGAGGAAATTCTAGTTCCCAAAACGTATGAAAAAATGTGGAACTTACATGAAATGTTTGCATGATCGAAACTTTTTTCGTCTCGCAGTAGCATTTGAAAACTCTTCAATGAGATGACCGAAACCTAAAGTCCCGAATTTTCATTTTTAATTGACAAGAGCGAGAGACCCCATAGTCGATGTTGGCTCTTAGTACTCCGCAGATAAGTTTTGATCAGTTTCAATTTAAAAGCAGACCGCACGGCAGAGGCAGCACTCTCGGGCAAAGTTAAAGTTAGTAGGCAGAGCACACTTCCGGAAAACTTGATGCTAACGTTGAGTTATCACAAATTAATAAAGATGCGATTTCCCTAGCGTTGTGACACTTTTTAATTTCAGATTTTAGGCATGTTCGGAAACCAATTAACTGATTGCAGAGAGCAAAAGTAAAATTATCAGGGTATTTTTGGATAATTTTTCTTGTGCCTTGGTCTAGCTCATTATCGGCGATTTCAGCGAGAAATTCTGGCATCAATATTCAAAAAGTTGAGACGATGTTTTCTTAAGATTCAAATCTTTTTTCCAACTGACCAACTACAGTGTCTAGTATGATGCTAAAAACTCAACTTCAAACCGTTTTTGAGGATTAGTCACCCTTGGGAGTGTTAAGTACTTGTTCTCCTTGCTCCCCTCCTTCTTAATCTTTTCTGCCTCTCTCTCCCTCTCTCCCTCTCTTCCCTCTTCCTTTTTCCCATTTTCTTTTCCCAAAATTTTGTGTCCCTCGCATCGCCGCCGCCGCCCCCCCCCCCCCCCCCCCCGCCCAGCGGTGGCGGCAGGTATGTTAGTTACGCCATTGATTTCTGCGTTACAGCTGTCTCCAGACAGAGCCCATGTTTTTTGCAGTCTACCATGCTATGCAAAGTCTCTGTTTCTCTCATAGAATATCACCATTCTTAATTAGTTTCATGGTTTAAATCTACTGAACATCTCAATTATGATACCTACTAGTTTTTTAATTCAGGGTGTAGGGTCTCCCCCCAAGTGGAAGGTTGCGCTAGATGCTCCTATATAATTTTGAATTTGCAGATTGTGACTTCTAGTCATGAGGCTCTTGCATGTGTCTGGGAATTGTGAAGCAAGTACTGTTTCTTAATTTTTTGCGAGTGAAATGATGATGCTCTAGTTTTCTCTGAAACGTACAAGATCCTAAAGAGCTCTCTTAGTTCAGGCTGTGTGGAGGTAATCTCCTTTGCTGTACTGTAAGTGCACCTCTATATCCAGTCAAACTCGCAATGCACTGATACGGATTAGAAACATTGGTATGGTTGCCGTGGTTCCATCTTCTGCCCAAAAATGTGATAGCATTGCCAATGTAAGTATTTAACCCCTACTTATTTGTGCATGGAAAATTTGACTGGATGTAGAGGTGAACTCGTAGCATAGAAGAGGCACTGTGTAAGCAAATAGTAATGGTCTCAACTTCCGGAGCTTTTTTTGAGCTCAAAAGTAAGTTCTAGAGAAAATCAGGGGCAGCAATGAGTCTCTCGTAAAAATATTTAAGTGATAGTATTCTATCTGCAGATCTCTGATGCATATATCAGGGTGTCTATAGTACAGAAAAAGTACAGATATGCCGAAAAAGCACAGGAGGTCGGGATGGAAGTACGGAAAATGTTAGGATTTTCAGTAAAATAGTACAGAAATGCAAGATTTTTGTTATCAACTCCAGAAAGTAGCCTTGGCCGTTTGCGATTTCCTAAAGTAATCCATTTATCAACATCCAGGTTCGATTCCTTGCGTTTTTTGGTTTATTCCTTCCTCATTCCATCATTCCACTTCCTGAATCCGAATACAGTTAAAAATGCGTGTGCGGTTAGGAAAAAGTGTGGAAAAGGTAAGGAAAGAGCAAGGACTTTTGAAAATCGCCACAAAAGGAATTTACAGGAAAATGAGGAAAAAGCAAGGAATTTGAATGACAGGGTACCAGTAGATACCCTGATATATAAGCTCCATTAATTGAGAGTTTTTCTTTTCATGTAGATAATGTGTAGAATGGTGATATTTGGGAGCTAGGAAGGGTCAAGACTATTACTATATTATTTGCTTACCAGCCTCTACGAATAGTTTGTTTGATTGGACATTTATCGCTCCTTATTTTGTAACTTCGGAGCTGTTGGTGCCATGGGACATTGTGACCCATTTCATGGGAATAAAAACAATGTAAACGCATTAGGCACCAACTGTTGTAGATCGTTTCAGAAGAGACATATCTTTCGTCAATTTTCTCATCTTGGTAGGCTCTCTCATAAATGTGCCCAAAAAGACAGTTTTTCATTATAATGCAATCTTATCTGTGTCTCTGTGGCACAAATTTCTTTATTATGTGAGTAAATGAGTCACTTTGTGATGATACACATCCTTGTCAGAATGTAAGTATAAAGGACTCATGATCAAGACTGAGATAAATCACCATTGTTAAAAATTTTTCTCATGTAAGATCCATTTTATCTTCCTATTCATATCTCTCTGCTTTTACCATTGAATTGTCCTAGCTATTTTCATGGGAGTCGCTGCTTCACTGTTTGACTGTAGCAAAAATGAATTTGAGGCTGAGAGCCACCTGTTCCTTTAGGGAGCTTCTGTCTGTATTGTTTCACCATGACTGTCTTATTTGAAAAACAGTCTGAAGAGTATTTGGCCCAGCTAGTTAATAAGCCACTCGTGGAGGCTGATATCTCTCGGAAGCAACCAATATAAAACAGCCTCTTTGAGCAACGTGTCAAATGAATTTGGTGTGCATCAAGGATACATTGGATTTTTGTAAAGCTATTTAAAGCTTCTGAATTGGAAGGTTTTACCTTAATCATTAAGGAAGTCCTTACTCTCTGTAGCCTCAATCGTTCAGAAATGTAGGTCACTAATGTGTGAACTTGTCCAGCAAGCTATTATTACCTTGATGGATTGTTTTTCATGATAATAAAGATTTTCTCAGAAAGCTAGGATATATCATTACGAATATTAACATCTCCTATGGATCAGCCAAATCCACAATGAAGAAATATTAACTTATTATTGTGTCTCCTCCGGAAAAAGAAGAGAAAGTGGAGGGGGGAGGAAAGGAGAGAATTATAGTTGCTAAGGGAAAGGAGCCTCTTCAGTGCATGTCCAGTTTTCCGATAGTTTTGAAGCTGGGCTTGTATATCCGGGGTAAGCAATCTTAAATTATTTCAGCTACAGATGTGACATTGGTCAATTTTTACCCTTTAAGTGGTCATCAAAGGAGGGGTTGCGATTTGGGCCGAAATCGGCCCCTCCACGGAATTGAGAAATTTTTGGATATATGGCAGTTGACGGTGCATATTTGACGGAAATAATCGAGTTTTGCCGATACTCACGTTTTTTGGCTGCGAAACAGGGGCCTAAACATGGCTCCGGAGCCGAAAACAGCTGAAATTTCGCGTTTTTCGCGGTTCTACCTCAGATTTCGACCTGGGCCCAACGGCGACGGGTGATGAGCTTCGAATATGGTGTCAAGGACACCTAGACACGTACCACACTTGAATATGATCAACCGTCGCCCTTGGGTCAACTTCAAAATCGAACATTTCCGACTTTTTAGCCCGAAATAGCGGAAAAACCATGTTTTTCCGCTTTGAAGTTGGGCCCAAGGGTTGGGGCGACGGTTAACCATATTCAAGTATGGTACGTGTCTAGGTGTCCTTGACACCTTATTCGAAGCTCATCACCCGTCGCCTTTGGGCCCAGGTCAATATCTGAGGTAGAACCGCGAAAAACATGGATTTTACGCTACTTCGGGCTTAAAAGTTGGAAAAGTTCGATTTTGAAGTTGGGCCCAGGGGCGACGGTTGATCATATTCAAGTACGTTACGTGTCTAGGTGTCCTTGACAACATATTCGAAGCTCATCACCCGTCGCCTTTGGGCCCAGGTCGAAATCCTAGGTAAAACCGCGAAAAACTCGAAATTTCAGCTATTTTCGGCTCCGGAGCCATGTTTAGGCTCCTGTTATGCGGCCAAAAAACGTGAGTATCGGCAAACCTCGATTATTTCCGTCAAGTATGCACCGTCGACTGCCATGTATCCTCAAATTTCTCAATTCCGTGGAGGGGCCGATTTCGGCCCAAATCGCAACCCCTCCTTTATGTCTTTTTTCTCTGGGTGGAATTTTTTTCCCATCCATCTGATAAAAATTCCACTGTTCACTCGAAGCCTCTAAAATTTTCCCAGGCCCCCTTTTAATTTTGCCTAGTGATCCTCCTTAACCTCTTTTCTCAGCTGCCAAGTTTCCACCTTAGCAATTGTAGAATAAGTCATCATTACTTGTTCCATCTTTTGTTCGGGTCAATCCCCGACACATCCATCAAGTTTTATTTTTATATATGAATTTCCTTTCGTTTTCTACTTGTGAATTGAAACCCAACAGCCCTTGAGTGAGTCAATTTTTTTTATGTAGTAATCCTAAGTCACCCTTGCCTTTTCATATTCGACCAAAACCTAAGATCCGTTCAGGTTATCATCTCAAACGATGGGTTTTACTACAAATAGACTTGAAACAATCACAACCCTAATATTAGGGTCTTAAAACGTAATACTTTTTCTATTCATCACTGATTAAATCTCGGTTAAATTTATCAGTTGAGTTTTTTAAGTTCGGACAGAATTTGTCAAATACAATTCAGCGAGCTCATCCTTCAGAAATTAAAGAGCTCCACCAACTTGACCCTCTTCCTCATCCATTTTTTACCCTAACATTAAATGCCTCTCATTTTCTGATCAACTCGAATGCAACCTCTTCTTAGGTCAATGATGAAATTTTCTAATTATAGACAAATTCTTCACACAGAGTCGAAGTTAACTTTTTTCTCCTACACAGAACTAGTCAAGTCTTTCATTTTGGGCTCTTGAATTGATGAGAATTCGGTGAAGTCTTGATGCTACCTTCTTGTTGATGAGCTCATCAACAATTTGTCCACAACCGCTCAGCATGTATTTCTGTATGCATACAAACTCCAATCATTTGCGCCTTGTTGCAAATGACTGTTGTTTGAGATTAATCTCCTGATCTGAAAGTTAGACCTCAATTTTCTGTTCTCATGATTAGATAACAGGAATATTTTAGTGCTATGTGACTGTGTTTTTATTCCAGAGTCGGACGAAAGTGGTGAATCACACATGCTAAGAAGCTCTTCAGAGACGTAATTACTTTGCGATAATGTTATTGGTAACTTGATTCTCATTGTCTTTCAGCTTTCCTGTTTTGATGGATGGAATGATTACATTTCTTGGAGAAGGGACCTACATGCTCGTTTATTCGCACGCGACGCGACATTTTAAGCTGGAAACGTATATTAATCTATAGTTTTTCACACACCTCTCTTTCTTACCTTACGTGTTCTTATATGCTGAATTGCTTGTATGAACTGTGTTTCTCCTTTTAGATCTATTTCTCATCCTTTAGTTAGTGTCTCAAAGGTAAAGCGGACGTTAGCTGTTCAGATGTTTCTATCATTCATTTTAATTAATTCTTAACGTGTTATGCTCATTAACCTCTGTTTGTAGTCAAATATATGCTCAGTTTTGTGTTCGATTCGGTTCTGATTAGGAGCCGAAAGAAATTCATTTTAGAGTAAATTTCTGACCCCTTTCCATCACTATTGCAGGATTATACTTGTCAGTGTGAAAGTTCTAGATAATATGATGTCGCCTAAGATAATCTCTGAATTTTAAGTCATCCCATGACAATTCAGTGGCCCCTTTCGGTGATCCTCTTAACTTCTAACAACTGTTTCTTCAGCTCTTCGGCTGATATATAGTTAAAGTTGGACTCAAATGAAGGGTTTTATTGTCTCATTGCCACTTATTTATAGATAGCAAAATGAAACTTGAGGGAAGACTAGGGTGTATGACTATACAGGGAAGGGGGGGGGGAGGTGTTAAAGTTAAAACTGTAAACTAGCATGTCTTGTATACGATCTATCACCTAGAGATGAAAGAACCCAGCATAGAACAGGGGGCTCAGTGGCTCCTGGTAGATTTTGATGAAACTTCAGTACATTACAATGAAGTTTATCATCAGCCGGAAGCCAAACAATTACCTCATTCCAACAAGTAAAAGCCAAATTATTCGCGTTTAAACACAGGCCAATTTCTGTGCGGCGGAGACAATTAGGCGCTCCACGTAGCCATTCTTCGTGCCTGAACACATCAGACTTTGGATGGGAAACCCTTTTTCTCCTCCAGGTAGCTGCTCAGATCAGATCGGGCAATGAGATATAGAGTCCTCTATCTCTTGCACCTCACCTCTGAAATTACTGAAGAGCTACTGAAACAGAATCGGCAGATGCGGGGAGAAGGGGAGCGTACAGCCTTTGCACCTGTCTAACGTATGAACACCTAACTGCGTGTGAGGTCTGATCGAAAACGCCTAACAGCCAGAGGAGAGGGGATTTGTAAGTCCTCCGTCATGCTGTGATATTATAGAAAACAGTCCGGGTTCAATGGCTAATATCTTGACTTCTACTCGTTAGAATAAGGTAATTGTTTGGCTTTGTGTTGATGATGAACTTCATTTTAATCTATTAAAGTTTCATCAAAACCTACCGGGAGCCACTGAGCCCCCTGTTCTGTGCGGGAGTCGTTGTCCCAACATTTAGAAAAAACCATCATTTTTTCATCTTGTATGCATGACATTGGTCCATTTTGAAATTTTCATCCAGTATGAGTCAGTAAAGTCCTTTTTTTTTATTGTGTCATTCGAAAGTAGTAAGTGACCGAAGCTTACAGTTTTTCTCCTAAATTTTTTTGATGACTGCAAACGGGAGAAAAGTTTATTCGAAAGTGCCTAAAATTAGGGTGGCCTAAAACGGCGTTGGAACCGCGCGCTCGTAGGTTTCTAATGTACACGTCACGATCAATATGGAGGCGGAATGCGTAGTGGAAGAATACACAGCGGCGTTGCGTTGGTGGCGGTATGTTTTTGTTGGTCAATTGGAGGTTATTTAGGTTACTTTGTTTGAGATTCATATCCATTGTTCTTAATTCTCGAAGCTATTCAATCAGAATGCGACACAGATGTATGTTGGATATGAAACATTCACATAGAACTTACTTAACCTCAAACGAGAAATCGTGATGTCAACATCGGCAGCGTGGCGGCAGTGAGCAGGTGGGTTTTGCCGACTGGCGACTTGGACGGTCAACCGTTGGAATTCGGCGATTTACCCCGAATCTCCACCGCGGCGGTGCGTTTTCGGGGGTTCGGCACTCTCAACGTTGTGACGGACCGCCGCCATATTTGTTTACGAAACCAAGCCTACCGATCGCATGCCCAAGCATCGTGTGCTGATCGATTATAGTATAATAATTCAAAATTAATTTTATCGTTTCAGTCGTTCCATTTTAGCCTCAATAAGCTAAGCTCACCGTTACGCGAACGTAAGTATTTGTTTACTTTTTGCAACTGTTTCACTCCACTTGTACATTGTACCAATGTCTTCATGGAGTGGGTTTTCCACCGGAATTTACGTATAAAAGTCTCCAAACGTCTCTGATTACCTAATTGGTATGAATATCTAGTATTCTCAAATTTAAATGTAGTAGCGCTGCTTGATTTTGTAACTTTTAACTTCGAAGTTGTTTGTGATACCTCTTCGTTGATGCATCAAAGGTAACACCAGCCTCTTGCCGTAATGTGTCAATATTTGCGAAAGACGTCGAACATCCAACAAATTCCATTGCTCTCAGCAGTATAAACCATTATTTCAGTATTTTCCAGACCAAGTGCAAATAACTGAGAGGATAAATGCATAAATATCTCTTGACGCTTGCTGCCTGTTGGGCTGATTGTTTTATTTGTGTTGGGGTCAGAACAAAGCTGAATCAATGGCTTTTCTAGTTCAGAGGTAAGGAATTTATCTCAAGAGAATAATTTGATTCTGTTGTGCAGCCTCTCATAACACAGCCAGACCTAAAGTCCACATGCTTCTTTTAAGGTCAGAAAGGTCTTTAAAGAAGTCAATATAAGTGAAAATTTTTTTTCGGGCCCTCAGCTACTTTATCTGCAAAGTGAAATCTACATTTTAACCATTCATGCTAGATATTCCAGAGAAATTGGTCAGTGATGAGTCTAAGTGTGTAGACTCTGATGGAAAATCCACCGGACAATGACGCTGGTGTTTTGAAGACAGTTACAAAAAAAAACAAATGTTTGCAAATGCGTAACAGACAAGTATCGAAATCTGAAGTCTACCATAAACGTACGACTTAACGTAGATTTGAAAGATTAGATTGAATGATTAAATGTAGCTGTGCCATTTCAGCTGGACCCGGGAAATCTAACTGGAGAGGTCTTGTGCCTGCGGGGAGGGAGTTGGGCGCTGCTGACACACTTCACAGTGAAATTGACCAAAATTGTCCCAGAAAAATGTTAGTACTCTCACTGAATAAGGGGGAGGGGACAATCCCTATTTGCCTGATGTGTGAGAATTTTCACCCTCATGATAAATTTTAATTTGAAAAAATATGTTCCTCCTAGAGGCCCAACCCCTTTCTTGCTAGCACCATTTACATTTTTAAAGCAGCCTCAGTCTTGATAGCCTGCTGAATGGGTTCCATAATGAACAGAGATGCAAAATTGCATGCAATTTCATATAAGGTAAAATTTCATGAAAGTATAACTTCTGCAATAGGCTCAGTAGGCCGTGAAATGCGTAGAATCAGAAAATCTCAATATTTAACAAAATAAGAGTCAAACTCTTAATTTTATTATAAGATAATTTTATGGGTGGTGTACACTCCTCCTAAGAAATCTGTGTACTTTCATATCATGTTAGATTTCATTTTACATCCCTGATAAGTGATGACAAAAAATCTCTGAAAAGAAGGAATGAATGCTGAGGATGGTCGCTCAAGACTCATTCTTCTGGCTGCTACTTTTTCTCTCCTAGAATGCATTGATAAACGGCGACATTGCAGCTTTTGTCTTAACGGGAGAAAACTTCCTTCATTCGACTATCAGGAATTAATATTAACTTGATAAAAATATTTAAATGTAAATTTTAATTAAGTACGTGGTTGCTTCAAGTCCGCTTAAAGTGTGGATCTTGCCCGCGATCCATAAATTCAAAACACCCGCGCAATATGCGCCGCCATCTTAGTTGTTTACATGAAAACGTTGAGGTGCTCGATCCCCGAACATGCACCGCCGCGGTGGAGATTCGGGGTAAATCGCCGAATTCCAACGGTTGACCGTCCAAGTCGCCAGTCGGAAAGATTCGTGAGCAGGTCGGCTTCGGCGCCGCCATCTTCCCGTCTAGGACGCCCATAGTTCGAAGATTCACGGCGGTCGGTTCAAACACGTTTTCGAGGACCCCTGAAAAGGAAACGTTATATCTCCGCGGAGACAATTTTTCGTGAAATTTTAACATGCGCATCGTTCTTCTCGTACCGAAAACTGTAAGACTCGACTATTTGCAGGCAAATCCCTCCCGGGCTTAACTGGCTCATTGCTGTAGCTAAAATTTTGAACTTTCACATTTTGAGCTGTGGCGGCGTCGAAGGCTTGTGTACCTACATATGGGAGAGGATTGCCATCTCTGTGTCGCCTTCTGATTTGTTCATCAGTTTTAGGCTATCATGGATCTCCAAAGTTGGCCCACTGTAAACAAACCCGACCCAGAGGAACACGTATAATCGGCTGAAAAATGAATGATAATCACACTTGAGGCTTAATTTTCGGAAAAAATATTCATCAAAGTTCGATCCGAACGCAATTCAGAAGTTGGTTATAAACAAAATTCTATCATACCCAAAATCACATTAAAAACTTTTTTGCCATCTTGTTTGTTTGCATTGGGCTAAACTAGGAGCAGAGAGGCTAGGGTTTGTTTACATTGGGCCAACTTTGGGGCTCCAAGATAGCCGACCAACCGGAGAACAGCACACTTTTTCTGTAGTAAGAGGATTGAGATGGCATTATTCTCCTGTATACAGGTACTCTATTTAAGGCTCACGTGAAGAATAACAAAACCATTTGGTTCATGAAAGTAGACCGTCTACGTTTCAAAATAAGTAAGCCCAAGTTAATCTCGGGGGAACAATTTTGATCGAAGTTTTGATTTTCCAAGATGACGCGGTGGGAGCACCTGGAATATTCTGAGTCCCAAGATCAACCATGCTTTCAGAACGATTACGAGTCGCAAGTATTTGTGTTTTTATACTTTCGTAGGTCGTTCCCACAGCAAATCATCGGATAAAAACGATCAAATCAGGACAAATGAATATCATGAAATGTATGCAGGGTGCTCATAGTTTCAATCATAAAAAAGTAACTTATATCTTCAACGGTTTACCATGGAGAGATGATGATAGCTCTGACATTCAGAAGTCAGCGTGAATCTTCAATTGGAAAGAATGGAACTAATCCATTTAGGAATTTCCATCCATTGTTGCCAAATTGTATTGTGGCCCAGAATTTTCAATGTTTTAAAGTTAGTGCCGTGACTTAAGATCAAACGGATCTATCCTATGAAAAAGAGCCAATTGCTTGTAAAAGTTTTTAATCTGAGATTCTGAAAGAATTCAAGTCCATCCCAGAGAAACGATTTAAAGTCGAGTTATGATTTTTTAAAGTTGGCTCTGCTAGCGACAACTGGGACTCGTCTAGTAGTATTCCAGGGTTGTCCATGTAAAACCGGGAAAGTCAGGTAATTTGTGGCGGCCGGGCATTATCGGAGAAAGGACCCCGCACACTCCTTATGGGAAAGTGCACCACGATCGATTTTTAATTTCTTTACTGCATTCAATTCAGCTCAAGATACTGATCAAAAGTTATCATTGCGCCAACTTTCTACGATACACCGTTTCCGCACAATACTCCCGGAACGCTTCAATTGTTCGGCGATATAAGAGTCAAAAAGAACAAGGCATTGGAGAACAGGTCTGATGTGAATAAGGAAAAATGTAGCGAGTGTCTGTCTTCTTATCTATTCCTGCCTACTCTGGGGTTATCTCCCTCCCGCTCTTGTTTGCTTGACGTCCACTGTTTTCTCCGACTTTCCGGTTCTTATGCTCCTCACGAATCTGATTTGGACGGTCAAGCCAAAAGGCGTGCAGAATCCGAGATAAGACTGCCACTCGGTGCTGGAGTTCCCTTGATTTCCTTGTTGACACACAGCCGACCGTTCACTCAAGGACTGAAATGAAGAATCTTTCTGACTCTTTGTCGCCGCTTAATTGCAGCGTTCTGGGCGTATTGTGCGAAAACGGTGCATCGTTGAAAGTTGGCACAATGATGACTTATGATCAACATCTTGAAATGAATTGAATGCAGTGAAGAAGAAAAATTTGGCCTCCGGCCAATTTATCCGCGGCGCAAGTGCCGGCATATGGGGGGGGGGGGCTGCGCCCCCCGTCACGGTGCGAGGATCGCACAAGACTTCTTCGCTCAAGCCGGCGTTCCACGCCGGCATAGACACTTTTACTGGAGTATTTAGGAAAATACTGTGAATATCACCAAATTATAAAGTTTGATTGGAATTTTGATCGAATATAATTTTTACGAAATTTTTATTCTAACCACTAAACTTTATCGTAAATCTCTTCACGATATGGTATGAATGCATTTATTCAGAATCGACTTGTCGATATTTTGAGGCATCTTCAATTAAATAATTGATTAATGATGTCTCCTAGTAAAAACGGCGATCCTTAAAAATCTTAGCTTAGCTACGATTCATTAGGATCTATTGGATTACTTGACATCATACTTCAGGTTTGATTATATATTATAATCTTTCCTTAAGCATGGTAAAAAGCTCTCAAAACCTTACTTCAATGGGTGGAATTACTATTCGATGTTAAAATAGTCTTAAAATAAAACGGGTGTCGCTTAGCATCGGTCCCAAGTCTCAAACTTGACGGTCGAATGCCCTATCCACTCGGTCATTAAGAATTGCTGAATCGGCGACGGAAATTAACATGCTGCCAATACGAGTCTTCCGTTTCCTTGATTGTTCAGCCCAAAATGGCGATTTGTTATTGGCCCCTCTCCAATTTTTAGTCTAGTCCAAAGATCTCATAGGAACTTAGATGCATGACCCAGGTAGTGCTAGATGCCAGCTTTCACATGATGGAAGGCTTTTCACAGTATCTCCAGTCCATCAAAGAGAGGGGGCCCTCCGCGTGATCTCACCGAGCAAAGTGCCCTACTTTCGTGCCACGTATCCATTGAATTTTGAGTTGAGTCCGAAGATCTTTTAGGAACTTAAATTAATGACTCGGGTGGTGTGCTTGATGCCCACTCTCAAAGAATTAAAGGCATTTTTTTAAAATGTTCAGTTTTTCGAAATGAGCTTTTCATGTGGTTTTGCTAAGAATCAATTTTGGCCCCCAGCCCCCCCCTCCCAAATTTTACCGTACCCCAAAATCGTTTGATGTGCATAATTTTTTTTTTTTTTTTTTTTTTTATCTTGAAATTATTCACCTACTTATACAGCAATTGGAATATTTACAACACGATTAAAACTAGACTTAAGGCTAAGACTTAATACTAGTGCTATTCAAATGTTATGTCCCCTAGATAGGGGTAGGAGGAGGAGTAAAATACAGTGGGGATATATATATATATATATATATAAATTATAATCAGATAAATATGGACTAAAAATATTATAAAGACCGAATGTCTTTTTATTATTTACTATGAAGCTAATATTTATTTAGCTTACCTATACCTGATATAAGACACTAGATGTTAAGGCTTACTGTTATAAAGTTTTTTATATTTTTACAAAGCTGCAGGTTGATTATTTACATGATTATTTAAGGAGAGTGAAGACAACAAGAGCACAGGAGTTGTTAGTACGCTAAAGTTGAAAACGTAAGAAAAGTGTCTTTTAATTGCAGTTATATGTATGTAAATCGAATCAAATGAAGAATTAAGTAATAAACATAGATGGTGTATGGAGCCTAGAAATGTCGTAGAAATTGATTAACGTATTAGGAGAAATGTTGGAAGATAAGGCAATGAGGTAAGAAGAGGGTCAGGTGAAAATTTTTGTTTAACTGGTGCACGGCCCTACCACTTAAAATGATAACACGGATAATTAACCCATCAAAAGTCCATTTCCAGGCGCAGCAAACTCCACGCCTAGTCACCCTGGCACTGCAACCACTTACACGCGGTTTGTTTAGAAACTTTAAGTTCAATGTTCCCACAGAACAGATAAGCTCAATGAAGCACTGAGCAAAGCGGTCGCAGTGTCGTAGCGAATGTCGAGGTTCTCTTACTAGTTCAACCCCCGCGTCAACATCCCTAGCTGAAAATGAATAAAGTAAGAGGTGAAATTAATTGGGCCTGGACCGGAACGGAGGTGAATCATTCACACATTAATTTAATTACCTCGCTCAAGACGCAATCAAATGGATGTTTCCGATTGAGGCGTCTCGGTCCGGTTTTGTATT